AGAAATTCTACTTGTGGACTTAGTCCTATTGATGGATTTAAGCCATCCTTCTTTTTTTTTTTTTTATTGAAAAAGTTTTTCAAATACAGATTTTTCCCCCTTTTTCCCCCCTCCTCCCCCCCACCCCCCCTCCCCTTGACTTCCTCATAGTAAAACCCAAGTTCATAACAGATTATATCATACTTTACTATCCACATACTCAATCTCCATATACTAACCCTTTCATTTTAATAAGATTATCATACCCCCCGTATACTATGCTATAATAAGCATTTCAAAGTGACATTCTATTATAACATTATCTAATAACTCCTAATTTAAAATAATAATATTATTATATCTCCCAATTTAACAATTTCTACTCGTAGTCTACCCTTTTACTACCCCTCAGACAATATAACATTTCAAAACATACTTCTATTCTAAGTATTCAAAAAGTCCTAATTTAACACTTATTCAGTTCCAGTAGCCATTTCGTTTCCCCCCTTCGTTACAAATATTCACATCTAAACATTTCTTTAAAATAGGCAATCCATAACCTAACCTTTCTCCACCCACTTTCCTACAGAATTACCATAATTATTCTTAATATCTTTATTCTTCTACCCCATCCCCTAGAAAAATATTCCCTTATGTAAATAAGATCCTAAAAGAAAAAAAAAAAACTTTAAACTTATGATCCATATAGCATCTTCTGGAATATCTTTCAACTGGATGATGAACTCCACCCATGTTAGGGTAACATCGCATCCTTATTCCAACAGTATTTTCGATATCTTCAGTTACCATCTGCCCCCATCAGCAACAAATATCTTCATATTGGAAAAGAAAAAACCCCGACAACCACCCGAGTGACTTTATAATTATATTCCATATAATGTTTATGGAGGTGTCTTTGATCCAGATAATTGGTTCCAACCATCATAATAGGGTAACAACCAGATCTTCTGCGTGCCCCAATCCAATAAGTCTCTTGCCATATAGCTCAGCATACACGTATTTATCCGGAACTCCAAAAAACAAACAAGATATTTCCAACCATTTGGTTTAAGGCCTTTTTCACACCCAATAATTCAGCACTGCAGAGATCTGCCACTCTCCTCAGGATAAAATAAGCCAATATTTTGCCCATTATCTTTTTATATATTCAGTCCTCTCATAAGTAACTGGCATTACACTGTTGTTTAATTTAAAAGTTTTTATGTTTATGAGACCTACTTCTTCTTTTCTTAACTTCTCGTGGGTTGGATCTCCATCCTAAACTCCTTTCTGTAGATTGTGTATCAACTATTTGGTTTTGCTGAAGAGTAGCTTGATCCTGTTGGGTTTGCATCTGTGGCTGAGATCTTTCTGGTTCTGTAAATTGTATATCAGCTGATTGACTTACATGCTCGTTTGTGGCTTGACAAATCATTGCATTAGGGTCCGGAACCACCTCTCTTATATTAGATAATCCAGCTGAGGCCTCTGAAAGAGGATCCAAAAGCGGCTCATCTATGGAGACCTCTTTAATTTGTTGTTTCTTCGTTATTTCCATCTCCTTCTGCTTTTCTTGGGTTTCTATCTCTTGTTGATTTTGCTTTTTAAATACCTTATAATAGAATTCTTCCGCTTTTTCAAGAGTATTTAACTGATATCTTACTCCTTGATATCTCAATATTATACCCACTGGGACATCCCACCTGTATAAAATATTCTGTCTTCTTAACTCAGTCACCAAGGGCCCAAATTTCTTTCTATCTCTTAAGATCTTGGGCGGCAATTCCTTATATATCCAAATTTTTCTCCCATTCAGTTGTAAAGTAGAGTTAAAGGATTTTTGCAGAATATCATTTCTTATCTCTTTTTCTGTAAAGTAAATTACCACATCTCTAGGCAATTGCCTTTGCTTGGCAATCCAGGAATCCACTCTGTAAGCCTTATCAATTTTACTGATTACATCCCCGTGATGAACCTTTAAGATCCCAGCCAAAACTTGAGCAGATGTTTTTCTTAAGTCATCACTATTATTTTCCTGTAAGCCTCTAATTCTGATCGCAAATTCTGTGATCCTGTATTGCAACATTACAGCCTCTCTTTCAATTCCTTGCTTTATATCTTCTAGATTATAAGTCTCGTGACCAGCTTCTTCTTTAGACTTTACTTCTAAGCTATTATCTCAAATATTTGCTAAGTCCTTTTCAATTCTTAATATTTTATTGTCCAAGTTATCAATTTTCTCCATTTTAGACTCTAGCAATTTAATATTTGTATCCAACTTTATCGCAATTTCTGAAAAACCATTAGTCACTGTTACAATCTTTTGTTGCAAATTGTCATACTTTAGTTGTATCATTTCTTTAATTTCCTGCCTTAAATTTTCAAATTTCTGATTCACAGTTTCATAATATTTTGCCATTTCCTCCTGAATAAATTCTTTTAAATTACAACCATTCTGCAGGGTCTGTAGGCTCAGAGAGTGGGGGAGCACCCCCCCCCTTTCTTGTCTGTCAGCTTTTATTAACGCCATCCTTCCAGCAGACTTTTCTCTTTTACCCCCCAAACAAGATCAAGTAATCACCAGGAAGAGAGGAACCTAAAATAACTATTGTTTCAAATTGTAGCCAGCACTGTATATTCCGCAACTTTGTATCTGTTATAAAAAGACTCTTCTTTCTTCTACTTCCCAAGCCTCCGCGGCCATTTTAAAACTTTTTTTTTTCCTTCTCTTCACTTTAAAATGCTTGTAAATTCATTAAGAATACTTGCGGTTTAGGGTCCCAAATCCAAATCCAAATCTCATATTTTTTTTTAGTAGATCCATCTGTTAAGTTCATTGATTAGTCCGGTTCCAGCGCCTGGCTATGCAAAAGTGCATAGTGCACCCGATGCCTGGAGCGGCGGCGAGGGAAAAAGGGGGAGCGCCAACCTGCTCGTCCCCAAGAGTTTAAAGAGACTCTGGGGACTTCGCAGAGGGCTCTACCCACCCCCACCCGCTCAGACTCACATTTCCGTCAGGAAATGGAGTTTTTCGAGCCGCCTTTCAGATGTAAAGGCGGCTCTTTTACAGGCAACGGGGCGGCGGTCGCAGAGGACCGTCTGGCGGCACCGGAAACCAGACAGGAAGTCTCAAGCCATCCTTCGTATAAACTGCTTCCACATGAAACTCATATGCAAATGAAGCCACTGAGCTGTTTCTCCTTTAAATAATCACAACGAACTGCATCATAATTGTCATGAACAAGGATTAAGAGAGACAGTGTCCTTGTAGTTGGATTGATTAACAAGTCCTAAGATTCATGTAAAACTGGGCTATTTGTCCTCTCTATGCCCAGGTGTGTACTGGTTTTCAAAAGAGGTCAGCAAGGGTGTGAAGTGGTAGGAATGGAAAGAATCTGATCAGGCATTGTACCGAATTGTCCTTCACTGACAGCAGTTCAATCAAAGCTGAACTACCCATTACAGCTAAAAACATGAATATCTGCTCATTCTAAGGAAACAAGTGCTTATAATGTATAGTTTACATCATTATCAATTAAATGGATATGTTACATATTTTCACAAGGAAACTTTATGGAGACTGATTGCCAGTGAATAAAGATATTATTTTAGTTTTATGTATTTCTTGACTTGGGGCTATTGAGCTCATTTCTTTCAATCTGGAAACTCTGGAGAACTCCTGGAGATCAGAAACATTCTCCCAATCCCTATTTTCTAACCTATATAATGAAGGTCTCTTCAGACCCTGAGCCTGATGGGCCCCTTCTATCTGCTTTGCGCAAGAAGGCAGCAGTGTCTAAGAAAATGAAATTCTCCATTGAACACAAATGAAAGTGTGGTTTCATCTGTTAGCCTGATGGTTTCCTCTGCTGCTTCCCAAATATTACTCAATAGGTCTCTGGAGACCCTCCTTCACCAAGAGACTTTCTCATGTCTTTTTATAGCTTTGAGATACAATTGTTTCCCTTTCTTCCTTTTTCATTTGCAGACCAAGCTTGATATGTTTGAAACAGTTCATCTCTCTTCGCTCACTCCCTGCCCTCTTTATTTATTCATAACTACAGATGGGGATGACAGAAACATGAAAAAATATATTGCATGGAACAAACCTAGCAGTGTATCGTGAATCATCAGTCGGAGACTTCCAATGCTGTGGAAGAGAAGGGAAGGGAATTGGAAGTGATGGGAAAAGGCTGTGCAAGCAGTGGAAACAACAACAAACACAAAATAATTATAACCCATCCTATTGAGCTGGACAGGATGTATGACTGGATATTGGCTGGTCTGTTTTGAATAGTTTAATTCACTCCTCAGTGATAATCCTGATGTGCCTTCAGTGGGCACATACTGTATTATTACATCAATTTTTCAAACCATGCAATGATGTCTGATTAACTTCCAAGGGCAATTTAATGTCCTTATTTCAACCTGTGCAAACGTTTGTCTTGGCACAGAGTGAACTAAAGAATTCATCCATATATTGGAAATGGCTCTACACTATTGATCAGGTCAGGAAAAGTAGCTGATTGTTCCAAAGATTGGGGAAGGCAGAGCATATACAGTATGACTTTCCTTCTGACAAAACGGGCCTGGTGGCTCAGCAGACTAAAAGCATTGTGATTAACACCAGCTGTCTGCAATTACTGTAAATTCGAATCTCACCAGGCTCAAGTTAACTCAGCCTTCCATCCTTTCTAAGGTAGGTAAATTGAGAACCCAGTTTGTGGGGGCAATAAGCTGACTTTGTATAAATATACAAAAGTATGAAGGCTATTGCTTAACGCATTGTAAGCCGCCCTGAGTCTCCGGAGAAGGGCGGCATATAAATCAATTTTTTTAAAAAATCAACCCGTTGTTTCACATGTTTCTTAAGGATGAAAATAAATAGACTTTAACTGATGTTGAGACATTTTCAGTCATGTCTACAATGGAAGATGAAGGCACTCTAGAAGGTCAAAGATGTGTGTGTCTCTTTTATCCTGAGGGCTATGTAAATTCAGTGACAGCTTCCTGTTCAAAGGAACCATATCTTCCTGCTCTCCTTCTGCACTCCAAAACCAAATGTTGAGTGCTTGTTTTCCCATCAGTAAGAATCCTCCAATCTTTTGAAGAAGCAATAATGGCACTGTGGGTGAACCTCATGTGCTTGTTAGTTGTCCTCACAGGTATTATTTTCCCCTCCAAAGAGAGTGGTTATTCCTCATTTTTTTGTGTTTACCTGCAGGAAGTCTTACTAAACAACCTTTCTGTTTAGGTGTCCAATGTGAGGTTCAATTGGTGGAATCTGGAGGGGATGTGAGAAGACCTGGAGAGTCCCTCCATCTCTCCTGCCAAGCCTCTGGATTCACCTTCAGCAGCTATGAGATGAGCTGGGTGAGACAGCCTCCTGGGAAAGGCCTTGAATGGGTGGCATACATATGGTCTTCAGATCTTTACTACTCTGACAAAGTCAAGGGACGGTTCACCATCTCCAGGGATGATGCCAAAAGCCAGCTGTATCTGCAAATGAACAGCCTCAAACCAGAGGACACAGCAGTCTATTACTGTGTGAGAGACACAGTGAGAGGAAGGATATGTGAAGCCAAGCAAAAACTTCCTATTTCATAGAGCAGTTCTGAATTTTGCCTTTGGACCAATATTCAGCTTCATTAATTTGGAATCTCTCCTCATGTCATCATTCAGCACTTCAACCTTCATCCATTTAGTCTATAGGAATGACCCTCCTTTTCTATTTTCATGTAAGGAGCTCTGTGCTTCAATTTCATTCTCACTACAGGTGGATATTTACTTAATCTAATCATTCCTGGCCTTCTCTCATTTCACCACCCGTATTTCTTAGCCCTTAAGTTAGTAATGCTATCATAAATTTATTTAAATTTAATCAGGATAAATAGTTGGGGTTGTAGATGTGAATACCACAGTCAAAGTAAAATTTTGGGATAGGACTGATTGACTGACTTAACTTACCTTTCTTATAAACTGGTTTTAACTTCCACATGAAACTCCTATGCAAATGAAGCCACTGAGCTGTTTCTCCTTTAAATAATCACAAACACACAAAAGGGCATCACAGAACCAAAGCTGTCATTTCTCTAAAGGCAATGATATTTCCTTACTCCCCAATGGATCTTGCCATTCTCCTTCTTTGCTTAGTAGCCGCTCCTGTGTGTGAGTATCTTCCAGATAGACCTGAACAATGAGATAAAAACAAAAGGAAGGTTGTGTTCTAATTCCTGCTTTGTCATTCATTTAGACGTCCACTCCAGCGTCCAACTTGTGGAATCTGGGCCAGGAACAGTGAGCCCTGGAGGATCCATCAAATTGACTTGCAAAGTGACAGGGGACTCCATCACAAATGCATACTGGGAGTGGATCCGCCAGGCTCCAGGAAAAGGATTGGAATGGGTGGGCCAGATAGACTGGTCTAGTAATAACTGGAGGACATACTATGCCTCATCCCTCCAAAGCCGAACAACCTTGACAGCCGATTCCTCCCGCAATGAATATTATTTGGCCATGAGGTCCCTGGCAGCTGCAGACACAGCCACATATTACTGTGCACGAAGATCACAGTGAGAGAAAGCAAAGGAGGAAGTGTGAAAAACCTCTGGGCCTTTGTTTGATGAAACTTTATGCATTGACATGAATGGATTGAGATAACTTAATTCTTCCTCCAGGCTGCTCTTCTCTGCAGAGAGGAACAAGCTACTCTTCCAAGTCAACAAGAGGTAGTACTGGACTTCAGAGTAGTTGCTTGTATTCAGAAGACACATAGCTTGCTATTTGCTTCTTTCTTTTGTTTCCTTTCTAATACTTGCACAGTATTTTCGAGGTCCGGCTGGAACATCATTGTCATGGACAAAAGAGTAAGAGATGCAGTGCTCTATTAGTTGGGTTGATTGTAAATCCTAAGAGGCTTCTGAACTTTTCTCTTCCTATTCCTCCTTGCAATGTCCATGTGTGTTTTGGTTTTCAAATGAGGACCATATAGAAATGAGATGGCAGGAATGGAAGAATGCAAGTCAGTCAATGAACAGAATTCTATTTCATAAACAGCAGTTTGATATTAGCCGAACTACAGATTACATTTGAGAATATGATATCTTCTGGTTCTCAGTAAACCAGATGGATGGTCCATGGAGACCATCCTTCTGCAAGAGAATGTCCCCCTCCCTCCCCTACCCTCTCCTTCTCCCTCTCCCTCCCTCCCTCCCTCTCTCAAATAAAAACCGTTACTCTCTCTCACACATACACACCTGTCTGTCTGTCTGTCTGTCTGTATCTCTGTGTGTGTGTGTCGATAGATAGATAGATAGATAGATAGATAGATAGATAGATAGATGATAGATATAGAGATAGAGATAGAGACATATAGAGATAGAGATATGTACATATACACATATACGTATACATACATACACATATATGGTATCTATATTTTTTATCATTATAAAAGGATATATTAAATGTTCACAGAATAAATATTTATGAAGACTAGTACCAATTATTGGTAGCAAGAGTATTATTTTATTTTTATTCACTGTATATCTTGAGGTGGTTTTGAGCTTGTTCTATTCATTCTGCAAACTCTGGAGAACTCCTGGAGATCAGAAACATTGTCCCCATCCACATTTTCATACCTATATAATGATGGTCTCTTCAGACCCTGCGCCTGATGGCTCCCTTCTATCTGCTTTTGCACAAGAGGGTAGCAGTGCCCAACAACCTGACATTCTCCACTTAACACCAATAAAACTGTGGTTTCAGCGGTTAGAGGGATGGTTTCCTCTGCTGCTTCTAAATTATCATTCAGTAGGTCCCTGGAGACCATCCTTCCGCAAGAGAATGCCTCTCCCTCCCTCCATCCCTCCCTCTCCCTCTCCCTCTCCCTCCTTCCCTCTCTCACTCTCTTTCTCTCTTTCTCTCACTCTCTCCCTCCCTTCCCCCCCTCTCTTTCTCAGATAAAAACCTCTTTCTTTCTTTTCCAGTTGCAGGCCAAGCTTAATATGTTTGAAACAGTTTTCCTGTCTTGGTTCACTGCCTGCCCTCTTTCCTCATTCATAATTATGGTTGGGGGGGGGGGGTGACAAAAACATGCAGAGATTTGCATGGAAGAAACCAAGCAGGTATATTTTGGTCCATTCTTACTTTGTGCTGAGGACAGGATGGTGCAGGAAGAGCCAGGAAGGGAAGGGAATTGCAAGGGAATCAGAAGGGAATTGAAAGGAATGGAAAAAAAAACGTAATAGATGCAATGGAAGCAACAGCAAACACAAAACTGGTTATCAACCATCGTATCGTGCTAGACAGGTTGTGGAGTTGGGTTTTGGTGGGGCTGTTTAGAGTGTTTAATTCCTTCCTCAGTGGCTGATTCCAGTTAATCATGATTTGCTTCCTAATTGGCATATTTTACGCCCATTTTGCAGACTATGTATGCAATGGCTTCTGGTTATCATCCGGGGCAATTTAAGGTTTTCAAACTAAGAAACTTGGTCACCTTACAGAATGTGACTGTTCACTGGACTTGGCTTGACCCCCTTAATGATGTCAAGAAAAGCAACTGGTTGTCTTATATCCTGATGGGACCTGCAGGCATTCATTTATTTCAGATTAACAGATTAACAGAGTTGGAAGAGACCTTGTAGAAATATCAATAACACTTGGACTTATATACTGCTTCACGTTGCTTTACAGCCCTCTCTAAATGGTTTACAGAGTCAGCATATTACCCACAAGGATCTGGGGCCTCATTTTACCTACCTCGGAAGGAAGGTGGGCTGAGTCAACCTTGAGCCTGGTGAGATTCAAACTGCCAAATTGCAGGCAGCTGGCAGTCAGCAGAAGTATCCTGCAGTACTGCAGCCAAACAACTGCACCACCACAGCTCATATAGGTGGTAGGTCATCTAGTCCAACCCCTCACCCAAGCAGGAGAGCTTATACCAGTGATGGATAACCTTTTTGCTATTGCGTGCCAGGAAGGGGAGGACGTGGGGGCTTCGCACGTGTGTGTGCCCACATCCATAATTCTATACATCCACCTTGCGCATACATGAACAACCCCCCTCCCCCCTGCTCCTGGCACGTGATGGCCCCGTAGGCCCGTTATTCTTTCTCACCTGGCTCCAGATCCTCTCTATGCATCTGGGGAGGGTGAAAACAGCCTTCCCCACCACTTTGGAGGTCCTCTAGAGGCAGGAAACAGCCTGTTTCCCTATTTCTGGTGGGCCCAGAAGGCCTGAAAATCAGCTGGCCAGAGCTGAGCTGGTGTGCCATTATGGGCCTACACCGTTTCTGACAGAAGGCAGTCCAGTCTCTTCTTGAAAGCTTCATGGGAATATTCATGGGAATGGCTCACTGGAATGGTCTCCTACATGAAACATCTTTCATTCCAACCCTGATTGCTATCTGGAAGCTTCAGAAAATGGAAGATTGTTGGAGGGTCTTTGGGGGAGGAAAAGAGAAAGCATCCGGAAGGCATTTATGTAATTTTGACAATAGATTTCTATGTTTTATATTTCCTTTATTTTTATTTTCCTTTTTTATAGTGTGAACGTCCAAGAATCTATATAGAATTGCACTGGAATACTCATGTAATATACCAATCAATCAATATAAATGAATAGCAAGAACCTGAATCTTTTCTAGTCTGTACAAAAAAGAAATGGTTTTTGTGTGTGTATTTGTGTGTGTGTGTGTGTGTGTGTGTGTGTGTGTGTGTGTGTGTGGTATGATGAAAAGAAAAGAAACTAGGATTTCTTTTTCTTCCAGTCATACAAAGTGATATTTTTGTCAGGCTACATTTGTTCGTTGGGGCGGGGGAATTCACTAGAGAAGACAATTATATTTGGAAGAGTTAGTGGGAAAAGGAAAGCAGGCTGTCAAAAAACATGGTGGCTGGACACCATCAAAGCTGACAACAGCCAAAAGATAGAAAAACTCAAAGAAGAAGTGCAAAATCGGAAGATGTGGAGCAGGACTGTCAAACTCCCTGCCCAAGGGTCGGATGTGTCATGCCCTGGCCACGCCCCCGCCCAGTTTAGCGAAAGGAAAAAAACTCCCGATATGTCCCATGATGCTGTCATGACCACATGAGTTTGACACCCCTGTTGTGGAAAGACCTGGTCCACAGAATCATCAAATGTCAGGTACAACTGAATGGATATCATCATCAACAATAATCACCATAGCAAAAATTTGTTCACTGAAGTTACACTTCAGAATCAGATGTTAAGTTCTGATCATCTTAATAAAATTCTGAATCCTTTATTAAATCATTTGGACTGATTGAACTATTCCTTCATTTTGTTAAGGTGTTTGGGTCACTTTTGAACAAACACAAAAAGGTAAGTAATGTCTTTCACTTCTATATTTATATATACAAAAAGAAATTTGAAGGAAGAAAGAGATGAACAGATGATACCAGATTACAAGCTGAGACAATAACAACCTTTTGAGGAGAATCCAAAAAAAATTGGTACAAGGTAAGAAAATGCATCATTGATAGGAGTTCACTCAGGGGAGCAGGCCTAACATATGGATTTCAATTTTGATTCCATTTTTTTTACTTGCAAATGTGGGAAACAGCTCCACTGAATGTGATTTAAATCTCCATCATGCAGAAAAGTAGAAAATCGGTTATCTACCAGCTTCAATGTTCCCCAAATGTTCAAATAATGCATCATGTTGAATTTTCAAGATATGACCTTATTTCTGACAAAATCAACCTTTTGGTTTACATATTTCTTAAGGACTAAAATAAATATACTTTAACTGACTTTGAGACATTTTCAGTCATGTCTGCAAAGTAGAATGAAGGCACTCTTGAAGGTCAGAGATGCATGTGCCTCTTTTATCCTGAGAGCTATGCAAATTCAGTGACAGCTTCCTGTTCAAAGGAACCATATTTTCCTGTTCTCCTGCTGCACTCAAAGCCTGAAAGGTCGAGTTTTGAGTGAATGTTTTCCCATCAGTAAGAATCCTCCAATTTTTTTATCGAGCAATAATGGCACTCTGGCTGAACCTCCTGTCATTGTTCGTTGTTCTCAAAGGTATTATTTTCATCTTCAAAGAGAGGGCTTATTTCTCAGGTTCTTGTCTTTAACAGCGGGACGTGTCTTATGAAACCACCTTTCTTTTTAGGTGTCCAGTCTCAGGTTCAATTGGTGGAGTCTGGAGGGGATGTGAGAAGACCTGGAGAGTCCCTCCGTCTGTCCTGCCAAGCCTCTGGATTCACCTTCAGCAGCTATGAGATGAACTGGGTGAGACAGGCTCCTGGGAAAGGACTGGAATGGGTGGCATATATATGGTCTTCAAATCTTTACTACTCTGACAAAGTGAGGGGACGCTTCACTATCTCCAGGGATGATGCAAAAAGCCAGCTGTATCTGCAAATGAACAACCTCAAACCAGAGGACACAGCAGTCTATTACTGTGTGAGAGAGTCACAATGAGAAGAAGTATATGTGAAGCCAACCAAAAACTTCCCATTTCACTGAGTAGCACTGAATTTTATTTTATTTTATTTTATTTTATTTTTTTGGAACAATATACAGATTTCCCCTTCATGTCATCATTCAGCACTTCAACCTTCATCCATTCAGTCTGTAGGAATGAGCCTCCTTTTCTATTTAAAAAAGTGTCCATTTCATAGATCAGCTCTGCAATATTTTTTCCTAATAAAAAATAAAAACTTTAATTTGAATTCTCCCTTTAGGTCTTCATTCTACATGGCAACTTTTATGCATTCAACCTATAGAAATGAACCTCTCTTTTTATATATATATAATTAATTCAACCTCCATTTATAGAGCCTAGGAATTTGTCTCTTTTTCTAATTTCATATAATGAGCTCCACACCTCAAATTTATATTCATTCCAGAATACTTATCAACTGACATATTATGATGGACAGGCTGTGGAACTGGGTATTGGGAGGTCTGTTTGAATGGTTTAATGCTTTTCTCAGTGGCTAAATCCTGATAATCTTGATGTGCTTTCCTGACGACACAGATTACACTACTTTTGCAGACCATGCAATGACTTCCGATGAACTGCTAAAGGCAATTTAATGTGCTGATCTGACTTGAGAAAAAGTGAACTATTTCTACAAAAGAGAGAGAAGAGAGAAGGAAAAATTAATAGATGCTACAGATCACAAGCTACAACAATAACTATACATTGAGAAGCATCTTAAATTGCTACCAGGTAAGAAATTGTATCGTTGATAGAGGAACACTTAGGGGAACTTGACTAAAATATGGATTTCAACTTTGACTCTGTTTCTTTAATGGCAAATGTGGGAAATATTTGTAAATATTAAATGTGACTTACATCCAGGGGTGAAATGCTCCCGGTTCGGACCAGCTCGGGCGAGTAGGTAGCAATGGAGGCGGGCAGTTCGGAGAACCGATAGCAAAAATCCCTGCCCCCACCCCCCCATGCCCAGCTGAGCCACGCGATCATCCCAGGCTTTTTTTCTTTTAAATGCCTCTGACGATCCAAGCTCTGACGATCCCAGCTGAGTTGCCTGATCGGCAGATGGTTTTTTAAAACCTTCTGACGATCAGGCAACTCAGCTGGGATCGTCAGAGCCTTTTGAAGCATTTTTTTTTACATGGTTTTACATGTAAAAAATGGTTTTAAAAGTAAAAAAAATTGACCATGCCCACCCAGTCACATTAGCCCCCACACCAAGCCACGCCCACAGAACCGTAGAAACAAATTTTTACATTTTACCGCTGCTTACATCCCTATCATGCAGAGAATAAACCAGTAAGTTATCTCCCAGCAGTAGAATTCCCCGATGTTCAAATGATGGCAGCACATTTGCTTTTGAAGATATGATTTTCCTTCTGACAAAATCATCTTGTTGCTTCACATATTTCTTAAAGATTAAAATAAATATACTTTAACTGATGTTGGGACAATTTCAGTCATGTCTACAAAGTAGAATGAAGGCACTCTTGAAGGTCAACAGATGCGTGTGTCCCTCTTTTATCCGAGGGCTATGTAAATTCAGTGACAGCTGCATTTACATCTGACACATATCTTCCTGTTCCCCTGATGCCCTCAACATCTCAAAGCTTGAGTGCTTGTCTGAATGTTTTCCCATCAATAAGAATCCTCCAATCTTTTCAACCAGCAATAATGGCACTCTGGATAAATCTCCTGTCCTTGTATGTTGTCCTCAGAGGTATTATTTTCCCCTCCAAAGAGAGGTGTTATTCCTCAGTTTCTTGTCGTTAACAGCAGATGTATCTTACGAAACCACCTTTCTTTTTAGGTGTCCAGTCTCAGGTTCAATTGGTGGAATCTGGAGGGGATGTGAGAAGACCTGGAGAGTCCCTCCGTCTCTCCTGCCAATCCTCCGGATTCACCTTCAGCAGCTTTGAGATGAACTGGGTGAGACAGGCTCCAGGGAAAGGCTTGGAATGGGTGGCATGTATATACCCTTCATATATTTACTACTCTGACAAAGTAAAAGGGCGCTTCACCATCTCCAGGGACAATGCCAAAAGCCAGCTGTATTTGCAAATGAACAGTCTCAAACCTGAGGACACAGCAGTCTATTATTGTGTGAGAGACACAGTGAGAGGAAGTATATGTGAAGCCAATCAAAAACCACCCATTTCAAATAGCAGCTCTGCAAATCTCTTTTCTAATAAAAAAAAACTTTATTAATACTGATTCTTCCTTCACATCTTCATTCTCCATATCAACCTTCATCCATTCAATCTATAGGAATGAGCCTGTGGTTTTTATGTGTGCAATGAATTCAGCCTCCATTCATGAAAAAAGAAAACCCTAGCAATATATTGGTGAATCCTCACACAGAAACTCTGGATGTTGAGGAAGGGAACGGAAGGGAAGAGAATCAAAAGGGAATGATCACTGACAGCAGTTTCATCAAAGCTGAACTGCATATTACAAGTGGCTGCAACATCATTGTCAGGGACAAGGATTTAGAGATACAGTGTCCTGGTAATTGGATTGATTAACAAGTCCTAAGAGTCACGTAAACCTTTGCCGTTTGTCCTCCGTATACCTGGGTGTGTACTGGTTTTCAAACAATCTCAGTAAGTTTCTGAGATGGTAGGAACACAAAGAATCAGATCAACAAAGAGTTCTACTTCACTGATAGCGGTTTCATCAGGGCTGAACTACATATTACATCTAAGAGTATGAATCTCTGCTAGTTCTAAGGAGACAAGTGCTTATACCAATTATGCAGATATATTAAATATTTTTTTATAACTAAACTTTCTGGAGACTGATTACAACTGAAGAAATACATCAGATTATTTTAGTTTTCTTTATTTTTTGAGTTGGGGCTATTGAGCTCTTTTCTTTCAATCTGTAAACTCTGGAGAATTCCTGGAGATCAGGATTCCTAAGAGGTCTGGAAGGGGCATGCATAAGAGCACCAGTGTGCCTACCATCCCTGTCCTAATGTTCCCTTTAATTGTATTCATTTTAGGTACTCAATTCATGCTTATACTTCGATATATTATCGAATATGTACTTGACATAATAAAAAATAAATAAATTATTGTCCCAATCCCTATTTTCTTGCCTATATAATGAAGACCTCTTCTGATCCTGAACCTGATGCTGCTTGGCAGAAGAGGGCAGCAGTGCCTAACAAACTGACATTCTCCACTTAACATAAAATAAAATGTGGTTTCATCCGTTAGCCTGTTGATTTCCTCTGCTGCTTCCGAACTATCACTCAATTGTTCTCTGGTGACCCTCCTTCCCCAAGAGACGTTCTCAAAATTCTGTTTATAGCTCTGAAATAAAATTGTTTCCCTTTCTTCCTTTTTCATTTGCAGACCAAGCTTGATTTGTTCGAAACAGTTCCTCTCTCTTCGCTCACTCCCTGCCCTCTTTATTTACTCATAACTATGGATGGGGATGACAGAAACATGAAAAAATACATTGCATGGGACAAACCTAGCAGTGTATCGTGAAACATCAGTCGGAGACTGCCAGTGCTGAGGAAGGGAAGGGAAGGGAATTGGAAGGGATGGGAAAATATTGTGCAAGAAGTGGAAATAATAACAAACACAAAATAGTTATAACCCATCATATTGAGCTGGACAGGCTGTGGGACTGGATATTGGCTGGTCTATTTTGGATAGTTTAATTCACTCTGCAGTGATAATCCTTATGTGCTTCCAGTGGGCACATATTACGTCAATTTTTCAGACCATGCAATGATTTCCGATTAACTTCCAAGGACAATTTGATGGGCTGTTCTCAGTCACGGAGGAAACGCCGGTCACTAAAGGGTTACAACCAAGCCAGTAGCTCTAGGACCGAGTCCACCAACAAAAGAAGCCCGCCTCTTCCTGTATCCAGTTTTTAGACTCGGTCCGGTAGAGGACAGTCGTGTCTGTTAGTTCTCTCTCTCATTAACTCTTTGTGGGGGAGTTATTTGGCCATTGCTGGCTTATTTCTACTTAGTTTGCTCCTTTCTGCTCAAATTGCTGGAGTTTTCTTCAAAAGTGGCTAAACTTTATTGGAATCAGCTGGGGAGTGCTAGAAACGCTCCAGTGGCCCTGAGCAGCCCTGCAGCAACACCCACGTGCGTTTTGCATCGCCCTATCTTTTGCAGCACTTTCAAAGGATTTTGGAGGCTTTTGGAGAGGTTTCCCTGCCTCCTGTTGCTGTTGGAGGATTCTGGCTGCTAACTTCTGGCGCGAAGGCTTTTCCACGCCCAATTTTGCCACGCTGTTAAGCCCTTTGGCTAGTGGCTATTTCCTGCCTCCTGAGTAATCTTCCTGGCTCCTGGATTCTACTCTGCTTCTCTCCTGGCGCAGTGAGTTACCTGAACCTCCAATTATTCCCTGTGGGTGCATTTAAGGGTGATTTCTATCCTTTGCATTTATTCTGAGCTGCAAAAGTAAATTTCTGCTTTATCATGGCTGATGCTAGGAGCAATAAATCCCAAAGCAAAGGAAAAAGGGGCCATTCTTCTGATCCTAAAGAAAGTTCCTCAGGGGATTCTGTTCCTCCCAAGGCAGCCAGAGTTTCTACTAGATCCACTCACTCCAAGAGTGCTAATATTGCTACATCATCAAGAGAAGAGACCAGGAGGCATAAGGCCATGGAAAAGGCCTTTCAAAAAGCTGCTTCAGAGGCCTCTAGAGTTTCATCTCCTTCTGTGGGGCCTTCTAAATCTCCTGCCTTCCCTACTTCCAATGTGGCTGTTCCTTCTTCCCAAATTCAAATTGAACATGATTTTTCTCCTGATCAGTCTACCCTGGGTGAGAATGTAGCTGCTGATGCTTCTTCAGTTTTTCCTGCTGCTAGGCCTCTATCTCCAATTGTTTCTATTCAGGCCCCCCCAAGGCAAGAATTTCCTGAGGCTCAAGCCCAAACCTGCATTCAGGGGTCTGAGGCTCCTGTAAATTTAACTCCTGCCCTAGCTGAACTTGTTTCTGTTTCAATTAGGCAGGGTATTGCTGAAGGCCTTCAGCAAAGGGCCTCTTCTGAGGCCTCCAGTTATGTGAGTCAGCAGAGTCGTTCTGTGAGGGCCCAGATGGTTGCTGATCCTGTGCAATGTGAGGAAAGGGCGGATTCCCCGGAAAATGCAAGTCAAGGTTCCCTGTCTGAGGGGGAAATTGCCCCTGATCAAGATCTCTCGGAGGATGAAGGCCTTGAACCAGACCAGCCTTCCTTCATTGGTCTCTTCAAGCCTCAATTATTTAGATCCCTTCTATTTAAAGCTCAAAATGTTACTGGCCTGGGAATTTCTTCTACTCCTTCCTCTCAAGGGGCTTCTACACCATCTTCTCAGCATCCCTCTTCATCATTATTATTTCAGGAACCTTCCATTCGTGCAGAGGTCGTTCCAGCTCCCAAGCTGTTTTCTGATGTCGTTCAAAGACAGTGGTCTTCTCCTAGTTCTGGCCCGGTTCCCAATGGTCTAGATAAAAGATTTTATAATATGGCATCTGATTTTGCTAATATTCTTCAAGTTCCTTCTGTAGATGCTCCCGTCGTCGCCCTCTCTTCTGCATCTCCTCTTACTGGTCCGTCAGAGGAATTCCTGCGCCCTGAAGATAAGAAGTTGGAACGCTCCTTGGTCAAGGACCACCAGGCCTCTGCTTGGTCAATTCAGGCCTCCTCGGCAGCTTCCTTTTTTAACAGGGCCTCCATCCTTTGGCTTCGCCAATTACAGGAAAGGCTGCCTCCTTCTGATATGCGATCTCACCAGGACATCAACAAGATCCTAGCTGCTGTTGAGTTCTCTGCTGATGCTACTCTGAATGCGGCAAGGTTTTCAGCTAAGGCTATCGGGGCTTCAGTCACTTCTCGTAGGCTCCTGTGGCTTCGTCAGTGGCAGGCAGATGTTCGGAACAAGTGGAGACTGGCTTCAGCTCCTTTCTCGGGGAACTATCTCTTCGGCCCAGCCTTGGACCCACTCCTCATCGAGACGAAGGATCATCGCAAGATTCTGCCCGCCTTATCGAGAAGATCTGATCCTCGTCAGCAGGGTTCCTTTCGAAGCCATTCCTTTCGCTCCGACTTCTCTTCCTTCCAGTCCAGGCCTCAGCGGTACCCTCAGCCCAGGGGCGGACAACAGCAGGATTTCCAGGTCAGGCAGGGGTCCCGTTTCCCTCCCCGCAGACCCTTCAGGGGGGGTAGGGGGCGTCCCTTTCGCAGGTCCCGTTAGTTCTCCTTTTCCTATCTCTGACTCCTTAATTGGAGGTAGGTTAGCATTTTTTGCTGACCAATGGGATTGTTCAGTTTCAGACCCCTGGATTAGACGTACTATTAGGTTTGGGTTGACCCTTGAGTTCTCTTCTGTTCCCCTGACTTGTTTGTCAGGTGCCCTGTCTCTCATGTCAGGTCCAAGAGGGTTCTGCTAGATGAGGCTATTCAACACCTTTTGGAGATTAGGGCTGTTCAATGTGTTCCCCTAGGGGAAGTTGGCCAGGGATTCTATTCCCGTTTGTTTCTAGTTCCCAAGGCTTCAGGAGGCTGGAGGGCCATATTGGATCTTAAATCCTTGAACCGATATATAGTCTATCGTCGGTTCAAGATGGAATCCCTCCAGACCATTCTCCTTTCGATCCGTCCAGGTGATTTTTTTGTCTTCCATCGATTTGACGGAGGCTTATCTCCATGTGCCCATTTTTCCGGACCATCGGAAATACCTCCGTTTTTGTTATCGGGGTAGGCATTATCAGTATAGAGCCCTTCCCTTTGGCCTTTCCTCAGCTCCTAGGGTCTTTACAAAGATCATGGCTGCCTTATCGGGCCATATGAGATCTTTTCCTGTTAGAGTTTTGTTTTATCTAGATGATATTCTTATTTTGTCTAGTTCTGAGGTTAGGGGTAATGAGGATATTCAGGTCACCCTTCAGACCCTGCATTCCCATGGTTTTTTGGTTAATCGTTCTAAAAGCAATCTAGTTCCCTCCACGTGCATTCAGCATTTAGGGGCTGTTATTGATTCTGTCAGGTTGCAGGTTTCCCTTTCTCAGGATCGTCAGGACAGCATTGTTGAGCTGGTAGGTCAGGTTAAGGCCTCTCGCTCTTTTTCCCTCCTGGGGCTTTCCCGCTTGCTAGGGAAAATGGTTTCTGCCTTCGGGATCACTCCCTGGTCTCGGTTTCATAGCCGGGAACTTCAGTGGTTTTTACTTCCGTTTCAACGGTCTCGCAGGAGCACGTCAGAGGCCAGAGTCCCCTTGACTCCTCAAGTTCTCCGGTCCTTGGCATGGTGGACCTCTCCGGCTCTTGCTCAGGGATGCCTGTTCAGAGTGCCTCAACGCGTGAGCATCACCACGGACGCGAGCCTCTTCGGATGGGGGGCTCACCTGGGGTCTCAGCTGGCCCAAGGGCATTGGTCGGTCCAGGAGAGGGGACTTCACATCAACATCTTGGAGCTCAGAGCCATCTTCCGAGCTCTTCGCAAGTTCGCTCCTCTCCTTCGAGGTCTGGATGTCTTGATCAGAACAGACAACGTAGCTGCCAAGGCCCACATCAACCGGCAAGGAGGGACCCGCTCCAAGGCTCTCATGAGGGAGGCATCTCGTCTCTTCAGGTGGGCGGAGAGTCACTTGGCATCCATCCACGCCTCTCACATCTCAGGGTCAGCAAATGTTCAGGCGGACGCTCTCAGTCGATCGGTGGTGGACCAGACGGAGTGGAGCCTCGATCCACTTCTGTTCCAGGACATCGTGCATCGCTTCGGCCTTCCAGCAGTGGACCTCTTCGCGTCCGAATCCAACCACCAGCTTCCGAGGTTTTACACGAGATTTCCTGTCCCGGGAGCCGAAGCTGTGGACGCCTTGATCAGCCCGTGGCCTTGTGGTCTTCTTCTCTATGCTTTCCCACCTCTTCCCCTCATCTCCAGGGTCATCAGGAAGCTGTTGCAGGAACAAGCCGAGCTCATCCTTCTGGCTCCCTTCTGGCCCAGACAACCGTGGTTTGCGGATCTGATGGCTCTCTCTGTTGCTCCCCATTGGCAGATCCCGGCCGACAAAATATCTCTGTGGCAGGGCCGTCTAGCTCATCCAGACCCTCAGTGGTTCCGGCTGACCGTCTGGAGGTTGAGCGGTTCCTCCTGTCCTCAGCCAGGGTGCCTTCGGAAATAATTTCTATGATCCAGGCCTCCCGTCGAGGATCAACGAACCGTATTTACAATGCCACTTGGATGGCCTTCTCTGCCTGGTGTCGCCGTAAGAAGGTCCTTCCTACTGCTGCTTCCATTCTTGACATCCTGGGCTTCCTTCACGATGGATTCATTTCGGGGCTTTCTCCCAATACCCTCCGGAGGCAAATCTCTGCCATCTCATCTATCCTCACCTGCGGCACCGCTGAGTCGGTGTCCACTCATCCTCTCATCCGTTCATTCCTCAGAGGCGCAACCAATCTACGTCCTCCGGCTGTTCATCGGTTTCCCACCTGGGACCTGAATAAGGTTCTGTTAGCTCTTACTGGTCCTCCTTTTGAACCTCTCCGGGAAGTCTCGCTGAAGTTCTTGTCTTTTAAGGCAGCCTTTCTAGTGGCTATCACCTCGGCTAGAAGGATCTCGGAGTTGGCTGCCCTCTCAGTTCGCCAGGATCTCTGTATTATTCATCCTGATCGAGTAATTTTGAGATTGGATCCAGCTTTTATTCCAAAGATCAATTCAACTTTTCATCGTTCTCAAGAGATCATTCTTCCCAACTTCTGTCCTTTCCCCCGTCATCGCTTGGAGACTGTGTGGCACAAGCTTGATGTTTGTCGGGCTCTCAAGATTCATATCTCCAGGACTTCTTCCTTTCGTCGCTCCGAGGCTCTCTTTGTGTCTTTCCAACCCCAGTCCATGGGGTCAAAGGTTTCTTCTACTACCTTGGGTCGATGGCTCAGGGCTTCCATTTCTTTAGCTTACGAAGCTCAATCGTTGCCAGTGCCTCGTGGTGTTACAGCCCACTCTACCAGGAGCGCGGCTACTTTGGCTGCCTGGTCTACCCAAGCTTCACTCGAGGAGGTCTGCCGAGCCGCTACTTGGACGTCTCCATCTCCATTTATCCGGCATTACCGGTTGGATGTTTATGCATCGGCGGAAGCCTCCTTTGGAAGATGTGTGCTGCAGCGGGTATCTTCCCAGGACCAGGAGAGGCGCCGGCCTTCTCCCTCCCAATAGGTACACGGGCTTTGGTATATCCCTTTAGTGACCGGCGTTTCCTCCGTGACTGAGAATGAGCATTGGTCTTACCTGATACGCCACTTCTAGTCACTAGGAAACGCCGGTCACCCCCTCCCAATTGGTCCGGCACCTCTCGTGCTGGCTTTTGGCTGTTGACAGAGGGGGGTGGGTCCTGGGGATTTTTTACCTTTCCTTTATTTTTCTACAGACACGACAGTCTACCTTTCGTCCTCGTCTCAAACTGGATACAGGAAGAGGCGGGGCTTCTTTTGTTGGTGGACTCGGTCCTAGAGCTACTGGCTTGGTTGTAACCCTTTAGTGACCGGCGTTTCCTAGTGACTAGAAGTGGTGTATCAGGTAAGACCAACGCTCAATTTCAACCCATGCAAAACTTTGGCTTGGCACAGAGTGAACTAAAAAATTCATCCATCCATTGGAAGTGGCTCTAGACTATCGATCAGGTCAGGAAAAGTAGCTGACAGTCCCAAAGATCAGGGGAAGGCAGAGCATGTACCCTGTTTCCCTGAAAATAAGACATCCCCTGATAATAAGCCCAATCCGGCTTTTGAGCGCATGTGCTAAAATAAGCCTTCCCCTGAAAATAAGCCCTCCCTGAAAATATTTAAACGCAGAGCTGGAAATCAGGTAAGATGGCAAGAAGAGCCCCATCTTGCTCCAGGCACCCCAAAATAATAAGAACTCACCAAAAATAAGTCCAAGTGCTTATTTCAGGCTTCAAAAATATAAGATAGGGTCTTATTTTCGGGGAAACATGGTACAAAAGTATAAGTCATATTTTTCGCTTCTATATTAATATAAAAATAATAAATTTGAAGCGTGAGAGGGAGAAGGAAAAATCGATAATGCTTCAGATTACAAATTACAACAATAACAATATATTGAGAAGCATCTAAAAATTGTTACAAGGTAAGGAACTATCATTGATAGATGAACAATTAGGGGACTCTGACTAAAATATGGATTTCAATTTTGACTCTGTTTCTTTCCTGGAAATTGTGGGAAATATTTACAATAAATGTGATTTACATCGCCATCAAGCGGAGAACAAGGCAGTAAGTTATCTGCCAGCAATGAAATTCCCAAAATGTTCAAATGATGCAGCACATTAAATTTTCAATATATGACTTTCCTTCTGTTGTTTCACATGTTTCTGAAGGATGGAAATAAATATACTTTAACTGATGTTGAGACATTTTCAGTCATGTCTACAATGGAAGATGAAGGCACTCTAGAAGGTCAAAGTATCCTGGGTCTCTTTTATCCTGAGGGCTATGTAAATTCAGTGACAGCTTCCTGTTCAAAGGAACCATATCTTCCTGCTCTCCTGATGCCTAAACATCTCAAAGTGTGAGTGCTTCTCTAAATGTTTTCCCATCAGTAAGAATCCTCCAATCTTTTGAAGAAGCAATAATGGCACTCTGGCTGAACCTTATGTTCTTGTTAGTTGTCCTCACAGGTATTACTTTCACCTTGAAAGAGAACAATTATTCCTCAGTTTTTTGTGTTTACCTGCAGGGTGTTTTACTAAACAACCTTTCTTTTTAGGTGTCCAATCTGAGGTTCAATTGGTGGAATCTGGAGGGGATGTGAGAAGACCTGGAGAGTCCCTCCGTCTGTCCTGCCAAGCCTCTGGATTCACCTTCAGCAACTATTTCATGGGCTGGGTGAGACAGGCTCCAGGGAAAGGACTGGAATGGGTGGCACGTATATACACTTCATATATTTACTACTCTGACAAAGTCCAGGGACGCTTCACCATCTCCAGGGACAATGCCAAAAGCCAGCTGTATCTGCAAATGAACAGCCTCAAACCAGAGGACACGGCAATCTATTTTTGTGTGAGAGAGACACAGTGAGAGGAAGGATATGTGAAGCCAATCAAAAACCTCCCTTTTCAAACTGCAGCTCTGCAAATGTCTTTTCTAATAATAATAAAAAAACTTTATTAATACGGATTCTTCCATCACATCTTCATTCTCCATGTCAACTTTCATCCATTCTATCTATAGGAATGAGCCTGTGTTTTTTTATGTGTGCAATGAATTCAGCCTCCATTCATTCAGTCTATAGGAATGAGTCAATGGTGGGATTCAAATAATTTAACAACCAGTTCTCTGCCCTAATGATCGGCTGAGTGGTGATCTGTGACATCTGTGACAATGAATGTGTGCATGTATACACATACACATATACATATACCGAATTTGGTATATATGGTATAAAATGGTTTGTCGTGAATACGACTGCTTGAGGGCTCCTGGATTGGAGCTGAAAGGTGAAAGCAATATGTTCCCTCCCATATTGGGGTAGACCAGGTGCTTCGATAGAAAAACACTTTATATCTATTATCTATCTATCTATCTATCTATCTATCTATCTATCTATCTATCTCTCTATCATCTATAATTTTATCAAATTTATAAATTAAAGGAATCTTTATGGAGGCTAGTACCAATGAATAAATATATTGCATTATTTATTTATTTATTTTAATTTATTCATTTGAGGTGGGCTATTGAACTCATTCTTTTCATCCTGGAAATTCTAGACAACTCTTGGAGATTAGAAACATTGTCCCAAGGTCTATTTTCTGTCCCATATAACGAAAGTCTCTTCAGACCTTTAGCCTGATGGCTCCCTTCTACCTGCGCTGCACAAGATGGCAGCAGAGTCTAACAAATTGACGTTCTCCACTTTATAAAAATGAAACTGTGGTTTCAACTGTTAGCCTGATGGTTTCCTCTACTGCTTCCGAACTATCACTCAACAGGTCCCCCAGGAGCCTCCTTCCCCAAGAGACTTTCTATAACTCTTTTCTGTAAGCTCTGAGGAACAAGTATCTCTCTTTCTTCCTTTTTCATTTTCAGACCAAGCTTGATACATTTGAAACAATTCCTCTTTCTTGCTTCACTGCCTGCCCTCTTTGTTCATACATCATTATGGTTGGGGATGACAGAAGTAGAAATAGAAATAGAATAACAGAGTTGGAAGGGACCTTGGAGGTCTTCTAACCCCCTGCCTAGGCAAGAAACCCTACACCACTTCAGACAAATGATTATCCAACGTCTTCTTCAAAACTTCCAGTGTTGGAGCATTCACAATTTCTGGAGGCAAGCTGTTCCACTGATTAACTGGGACTGGATATTGGCTTGTCTATTTTGGATAGTTTAATTCGCTCCTCAGTGATAATCCTTATGTGCTTCCAGTGGGCAAATATTTCATCAATTTTTCAGACCATGCAATGATTTCCGATTAACTTCCAAGGACAATTTGATGGGCTGATTTCAACTCATGCAAACCTTTGGTTTGGCACAAAGTGAACTAAAGAATTCATCCATCCATTGGAAGTGGCTCTAGACTATCGATCAGGTCAGGAAAAGTAGCTGATGGTCCCAAAGATCGGGGGAAGGCAGAGCATGTACCCTGTTTCTCTGAAATTCAGACATCCCCTGATAATAAGCCCAATCGGACTTTTGAGCGCATGCGCTAAAATAAGCCTTCCCCTGAAAATAAGCCCTCCCTGAAAATATTTAAAGGCAGAGCTGGAAATCAGGTAAGATGGCAAGAAGAGCCACATCTTGCTCCAGGCACCCCAAAATAATAAGAACTCACCAAAAATAAGGCCAAATGCTTATTTCAGGCTTCAAAAAAATATAAGATAGGGTCCTATTTTCGGGAAAACACGGTACAAAAGTATAAATCATATTTATTATCAAATAAATCCTATTTTTCACTTCTATATTTTGCTTCTACAACAATAACCATATATTGAGAAGCATCTAAAGTTTGTTACAAGGTTCAGTAAGTATCATTGATAGATGAACAATTATGGGAATTTCAGTTCAGATAGAGTAACTAAAATATGGATTTCAGTTTTGACTCTGTTTCTTTCCTTGAAATTGTGGGAAATATTTCCATTAAGTGTGATTTACATTGCCAATTTGAAGAGAACAAAACAGTAATTTATCTACCAGCAATAGAGCTCCCCGAATGTTCAAATGATGCAGCACATTGGCTTTTGAAGATATGATTTTCCTTCTGACAAAATCATCTTGTTGCTTCACATATTTCTTAAAGATTAAAATAAATATACCTTAACTGATGTTGGGACATTTTCAGTCATGTCTACAAAGTAGAATGAAGGCACTCTTGAAGGTCAAAGATGTGTGTGTCTCTTTTATCCTGAGGGCTATGTAAATTCAGTGACAGCTTCCTGTTCAATGGAACCATATCTTCCTGCTCTTCTTCTGCACTCCAAAACTCAAAGATTGTGTCCTTGTCTGAATGTTCTCCCATCAATAAGGTTCCTCCAACCTTTTGAAGAAGCAATAATGGCACTCTGGCTGAACCTCCTGTCCTTGCTAGTTGTCCTCAGAGGTATTATCCCCCCCCACCCCAAAAGAGAGGGGTTATTCCTCAGTTTCTTTTATATACCTGCAAGAGGTCTTATTAAACAACTTTTCTTTCTAGGTGTCCAATCTGAGGTTCAGTTGGTGGAGTCTGGAGGGGATGTGAGAAGACCTGGGGAGTCCCTCCGTCTCTCCTGCCAAGCCTCTGGATTCACCTTTAGCTACAACTGGATGAGCTGGGGGAGACAGGCTCCGGGGAAAGGACTTGAATGGGTGGCAAGCATACACTATCATGGTGAACGTTTTGACTACTCAGACAACGTCAAGGGCCGCTTCACCATCTCCAGGGACAATGTCAAAAGCCAGCTGTATCTGCAAATGAACAGCTTGAGCATTGAAGACACAGCAGTCTATTACTGTGCAACAACCACAGTGAGAGGAAGTATATGTGAAGCCATACAAAAACTGTCTTTTCACAGAGCAATTCTGCAGAATTCTTTTCTAATAATAAAAAAAACTTTATTAATTCAGATTCTCCCTTCTTCTTATCATTCTGCACTTCAACCCTTCATCCATCCTGTCTATAGGACTGATCTTTTTTTTCCATGTAATGAACCCCATATTTTAATTTCATACTCAATCCAATTTACTCATTCCAGACCCTCTCCCTCTCTTTTCACCACCCATTCTGATTAGCCCTTAATTTATTGATGATATCGTAAATTTATCTAAATCAGGATAAAGAGTTGGTGATGTAGATGTGAGAACAATAATCAAAGTCCAAATTCTGGGCCAGCACTCTTTCATAGACTTAACCTACCTTGCTTATAAATGGGCTTTATCTTCCACATGAAACTCAGATGCAAATGAGGCTACTGAGCTGATTCTCCTTTAAATCATCACAAACAAACAAAGGAGCATCACAGATCCAAAGTTCTCCTTGGTCTAAAGGAAGGGTTGTATTTCTCACTGCCCAATGGATCTTGCCATTCTTCTTCTTTGCTTAGTAGCAGCTCCCCTGTGTGAGTATCTTCCAGGTAGACCTGAACAATGAGATAAAAGAAAAGCAGAGTTATGTACTAATTCCTGCTTTGTCATTTGTTTAGATGTCCACTCCACTGTCCAACTTGTGGAATCTGGGCCAGGAGGAGTGAGCCCTGGAGGATCCTTCAAATTAACTTGCAAAGTGACGGGGGAATCCATCGAGAATGCAGTGTGGGATTGGATCCGCCAGGCTCCAGGAAAAGGATTGGAATGGGTGGGTGGGATAGCCTGGAATTATGGTGAATTGAGTACATACTATTCCTCATCCCTCCAAAGCCGAACAACTTTGACTGCCGATTCTTCCGTCAATGAATTATATTTGACCATGAGGTCCCTGACAGCTGCAGACTCAGCCACATATTACTGTGCTGGAGAGTCACAGTGAGAGGAAGCAAAGAAGGAAGTGTGAAAAACTTATTGGCTTTTACCTAAAGAAATTTTATGCATTCACATGAATGGATTGAGACAATTTATCTCTTCCTCCAGGTTTCTGTTGTCCGCAGAGTGGAATAAACTACTATTCCAGCTCAACAAGAAGTAGCAATAGACTTCAGAGAAGCTGCTCATATTCAGAATAGCATATAGCGTACTATCTGCTTTTTCTTTCTTTTCTCTTTCTTTTCTCCTGTTTCCAGTTTTCTCAGGAACTGGCTGCAACATCATTGTCATGGACAAGGATTTAGAGATACAGTGTCCTGGTAGTTGGATTGATTAATAAGTCCTAAGAGTCATGTAAACCTTTGCCATTTGTCCTCTGTATGCCCAGGTGTGTACTGGTTTTCAAAAGAGGTCAGCAAGGGTGTGAAGTGGTAGGAATGGAAAGAATCTTTGTATTGTACCAAATTGTCCTTCACTGACAGCAGTTTCATCAAAGCTGAACTGCACATTACAACTGAGAACATGAGAATCTGCTCGTTCTAAGGAAACAAGTGCTTATAATGTATAGTTTGCATCATTATCAATTAAATGGATATATTATATATTTTCACAAGGAAACTTTATGGAGACTGATTGCCAGAGAATAAAGATATTATTTTAGTTTTATTTATTTCTTGAGTTGGGGCTATTGAGCTCATTTCTTTCAATCTGGAAACTCTGGAGAACTCCTGGAGATCAGAAACATTCTCCCAATCCCTATTTTCTAACCTATATAATGAAGGTCTCTTCAGACCCTGAGCCTGATGGGCCCCTTCTATCTGCTTTGTGCAAAAGGGCAGCAGTGTCTACGAAAATGAAATTCTCCATTGAACACAAATGAAAGTGTGGTTTCATCAGTTGAAACCTGATGATCTGTTGATTTCCTCTGATTTCCTCTGCTGCTTCCCAATTATCACTCAAGAGGTCTCTGGAGACCTTCCTTCCCCAAGAGACTTTCTCATAATTCTTTTTATAGCTTTGAGATAAAATTGTTTCCCTTTCTTCCTTTTTCATTTGCAGACCAAACTTAATATGTTTGAAACAGCTCCTCTCTCTTTTTTTCACTGCCTGCCCTCTTTATTTATTCATAACTACAGATATGGGTGACAAAACCATGAAAAAAGAAACCCTAGCAATATATAGGTGAATCCTCAGACAGAAACTGTGAATCCTGAGTAAGGGAAGGGAAGGGAGGGGAAGGGAAGGAAGGGAAGGGAAGGGAAGGGAAGGGAATCAGGAAGGGATTTGGAAAGGAATTGGAAGGTCATTGGAGGGAAGTTAAAATGTTTTGCAAGTAGTGGAAATAACAATAAACACAAAATACTTATCAACTGACATATTATGATGGGCACAGGCTATGGAACTGGGTTTGGGGAGGTCTGTTTTGAATGGTTTAATGCTCTCAGTGGCTAAGTCCTTGATGTGCTTCCTGAGGGCACAGATTACACCACTTTTGCAGACCATGCAATGACTTCCGATGAACTGCCGGAGGCAATTTAATGTGCTGATCTGACTTGACCAAAAGTGAACTAAAAAATTCATCTGTCCATTGGAATTGGCTCTGCTGTATTGATCAGATCAGGAGAAGCTGGTGGTTGTCACCCATATTGTGGAAGGCAGAGCAAATTTAAAACTGCAAGTAATGTTTTTCACTTGTATATTTCTACAAAAGAGAGAGAAGAGAGAAGGAAAAATTAATAGATGCTACAGATCACAAGCTACAACAATAACTATACATTGAGAAGCATCTTAAATTGCTACCAGGTAAGAAATTGTATCGTTGATAGAGGAACACTTAGGGGAACTTGACTAAAATATGGATTTCAACTTTGACTCTGTTTCTTTAACGGCAAATGTGGGAAATATTTGTAAATATTAAATGTGACTTACATCCAGGGGTGAAATGCTCCCGGTTCGGACCGGCTCGGGCAATTAGGTAGCAATGGAGGCAGGCAGTTCGGAGAACCGGTAGCAAAAATCCCTGCCCCCACCCCCCCATGCCCAGCTGAGCCACACAATCATCACAGGCTTTTTTTCTTTTAAATGGCTCTGACGATCCAAGCTCTGACGATCCCAGCTGAGTTGCCTGATCGGCAGAGGGTTTTTTAAAACCCTCTGACGATCAGGCAACTCGGCTGGGATCGTCAGAGCCTTTTGAAAGCATTTTTTTACATGGTTTTACATGTAAAAAATGGTTTTAAAAGTAAAAAAAATTGACCATGCCCACCCAGTCACATTAGCTCCCACACCAAGCCACGCCCACAGAACCGGTAGAAACAAATTTTACATTTTACCGCTGCTTACATCCCTATCATGCAGAGAATAAACCAGTAAGTTATCTCCCAGCAGTAGAATTCCCCAGATGTTCAAATAATGCAGCACATTGGCTTTGGAAGGTATGACTTTCCTTCTGACAAAATCAATCTATTGCTTTTCATATTTCTTAAAGATTAAAATAAATATACTTTAACTGATGTTGGGACATTTTCAGTCATGTCTACAAAGTAGAATGAAGGCACTCTTGAAGGTCAAAGATGCGTGTGTCTCTTTTATCCTGAGGGCTATGTAAATTCAGTGACAGCTTCTGGTTCAAAGGAACCATATCTTCCTGTTCCCCTGATGCCCTCAACATCTCAAAGCTTGAGTGCTTGTCTGAATGTTTTCCCATCAATAAGAATCCTCCAATCTTTTCAACCAGCAATAATGGCACTCTGGATAAATCTCCTGTCCTTGTATGTTGTCCTCAGAGGTATTATTTTCCCCTCCAAAGAGAGGTGTTATTCCTCAGTTTCTTGTCGTTAACAGCAGATGTATCTTACGAAACCACCTTTCTTTTTAGGTGTCCAGTCTCAGGTTCAATTGGTGGAATCTGGAGGGGATGTGAGAAGACCTGGAGAGTCCCTCCGTCTCTCCTGCCAAGCCTCTGGATTCACCTTCAGCAGCTATGAGATGAACTGGGTGAGACAGGCTCCAGGGAAAGGACTGGAATGGGTGGCATGTATATACCCGTCATATATTTACTACTCTGACAAAGTAAAAGGGCACTTCACCATCTCCAGGGACAATGCCAAAAGCCAGCTGTATCTGCAAATGAACAGTCTCAAACCTGAGGACACAGCAGTCTATTATTGTGTGAGAGACACAGTGAGAGGAAGTATATGGGAAGCCAATCAAAAACCACCCATTTCAAACAGCAGCTCTGCAAATCTCTTTTCTAATAAAAAAAAAAACTTTATTAATACTGATTCTTCCTTCACATCTTCATTCTCTATGTCAACCTTCATCCATTCAATCTATAGGAATGAGCCTGTGGTTTTTTTATGTGTGCAATGAATTCAGCCTCCATTCATGAAAAAAGAAAACCCTAGCAATATATTGGTGAATCCTCACACAGAAACTCTGGATGTTGAGGAAGGGAAGGGAAGGGAAGAGAATCAGAAGGGAATGATCACTGACAGCAGTTTCATCAAAGCTGAACTGCACATTACAACTGGCTGCAACATCATTGTCATGGTCTAGTATTTAGAGATACAGTGTCCTGGTAGTTGGATTGATTAAGAAGTCCTAAGAGTCACGCCATTTGTCCTCCGTATACCTGGGTGTGTACAGGTTTTCAAACAATCTCAGTAAGTTTGTGAGATGGTAGGAACACAAAGAATCAGATCAACAAAGAGTTCTACTTCACTGATAGTGGTTTCATCAGGGCTGAACTACATATTACATCTAAGAGTATGAATCTCTGCTAGTTCTAAGGAGACAAGTGCTTATACCAATTATGCGGATATATTAAATAGTTTTTTATAACTAAACTTTCTGGAGACTGATTACAACTGAAGAAATACATCAGATTATTTTAGTTTTCTTTATTTTTTGAGTTGGGGCTATTGAGCTCTTTTCTTTCAATCTGTAAACTCTGGAGAATTCCTGGAGATCAGGATTCCTAAGAGGTCTGTAAGGGGCGTGCATAAGAGCACCAGTGTGCCTAGCGTCCCTGCCCTAATGTTCCCTTTAATTGTATTCATTTTAGGTATTCAATTCATGCTTATACTTCGATATATTATCGAATATGTACTCAACATAATAAAAAAAATAAAAAAATAAATTATTGTCCCAATCCCTATTTTCTTGCCTATATAATGAAAGCCTCTTCTGATCCTGAACCTGATGCTGCTTGGCAGAAGAGGGCAGCCGTGCCTAACAAACTGACATTCTCCACTTAACATAAATTAAAATGTGGTTTCATCCGTTAGCCTGTTGATTTCCTCTGCTGCTTCCGAACTATCACTCAATTGTTCTTTGGTGACCCTCCTTCCCCAAGAGACGTTCTCAAAATTCTGTTTATAGCTCTGAAATAAAATTGTTTCCCTTTCTTCCTTTTTCATTTGCAGACCCAGCTTGATTTGTTCGAAACAGTTCCTCTCTCTTCGCTCACTCCCTGCCCTCTTTATTTACTCATAACTATGGATGGGCATGACAGAAACATGAAAAAATACATTGCATGGGACAAACCTAGCAGTGTATCGTGAAACATCAGTCGGAGACTGCCAGTGCTGAGGAAGAGAAGGGAAGGGAATTGGAAGGGATTGGAAAATGTTGTGCAAGAAGTGGAAATAACAACAAACACAAAATAGTTATAACCCATCATATTGAGCTGGACAGGCTGTGGGACTGGATATTGGCTGGTCTGTTTTGAATAGTTTAATTCGCTCCTCAGTGATAATCCTGATGTGCTTCCAGTGGGCACATATTACGTCAATTTTTCAGACCATGCAATGATTTCCGATTAACTTCCAAGGACAATTTGATGGGCTGATTTCAACCCATGCAAAACTTTGGGTTGGCACAGAGTGAACTAAAAAATTCATCCATCCATTGGAAGTGGCTCTAGACTATCGATCAGGTCAGGAAAAGTAGGTGACGGTCCCAAAGATCGGGGGAAGGCAGAGCATGTACCCTGTTTCCCTGAAAATAAGACATCCCCTGATAATAAGCCCAATCGGACTTTTGAGCGCATGTGCTCCCCCCGAAAATAAGCCTTCCCTGAAAATATTTAAACGCAGAGCTGGAAATCAGGTAAGATGGCAAGAAGAGCCCCATCTTGCTCCAGGCACCCCAAAATAATAAGAACTCACCAAAAATAAGGCCAAGTGCTTATTTCGGGCTTCAAAAAATATAAGACAGGGTCTTATTTTCGGGGAAACATGGTACAAAAGTATAAGTCATATTTTTCGCTTCTATATTAATATAAAAATAGTAAATTTGAAGCGTGAGAGGGAGAAGGAAAAATGGATAATGCTTCAGATTACAAATTACAACAATAACCATATATTGAGAAGCATCTAAAAATTGTTACAAGGTAAGGAACTATCATTGATAGATGAACAATTAGGGTTCTCTGACTAAAATATGGATTTCAATTTTGACTCTGTTTCTTTCCTGGAAATTGTGGGAAATATTTATAATAAATGTGATTTACATCGCCATCATGCGGAGAACAAGACAGTAAGTTATCTGCCAGCAATGAAATTCCCAAAATGTTCAAATGATGCAGCACATTAAATTTTCAATATATGACTTTCCTTCTGACAAAATCAACCTGTTGTTTCACATGTTTCTGAAGGATGGAAATAAATACACTTTAACTGATGTTGAGACATTTTCAGTCATGTCTACAATGGAAGATGAAGGCACTCTAGAAGGTCAAAGTATCCTGGGTCTCTTTTATCCTGAGGGCTATGTAAATTCAGTGACAGCTTCCTGTTCAAAGGAACCATATCTTCCTGCTCTCCTGATGCCTAAACATCTCAAAGTGTGAGTGCTTCTCTAAATGTTTTCCCATCAGTAAGAATCCTCCAATCTTTTGAAGAAGCAATAATGGCACTCTGGCTGAACCTTATGTTCTTGTTAGTTGTCCTCACAGGTATTACATTCATCTTGAAAGAGATTCCTCAGTTTTTATTATTCCTCAGTTTTTTGTGTTTACCTGCAGGGTGTTTTACTAAACAACCTTTCTTTTTAGGTGTCCAATCTGAGGTTCAATTGATGGAATCTGGAGGGGATGTGAGAAGACCTGGAGAGTCCCTCCGTCTCTCCTGCCAAGCCTCTGGATTCACCTTCAGCAACTATTTCATGGGCTGGGTGAGACAGGCTCCAGGGAAAGGACTGGAATGGGTGGCACGTATATACACTTCATATATTTACTACTCTGACAAAGTCCAGGGACGCTTCACCATCTCCAGGGACAATGCCAAAAGCCAGCTGTATCTGCAAATGAACAGCCTCAAACCAGAGGACACGGCAGTCTATTTTTGTGTGAGAGACACAGTGAGAGGAAGTATATGTGAAGCCAATCAAAAACCACCCATTTCAAACAGCAGCTCTGCAAATGTCTTTTCTAATTAAAAAAAAAAAACAACTTTATTAATACTGATTCTTCCTTCACATCTTCATTCTCCATGTCAACCTTCATCCATTCTATCTATAGGAATGAGCCTGTGCTTTTTTTAATGTGTGCAATGAATTCAGCCTCCATTCATTCAGTCTATAGGAATGAGTCAGTGGTGGGATTCAAATAATTTAACAACTGGTGCTCTGCCCTAATGATCGGCTGAGTGGTGATCTTTGACATCTGTGACAATGAATGTGTGCATGTATACATATACACATACACATACACATACACCTATACCGAATTTGGTATATATGGTATAAAACTGCTTGAGGGCTCCTGGATTGGAGATGAAAGGTGAAAGGGAAGCAATATGTTCCCCCCCCATATTGGGGTACACCAGGTGCTTCGATAGAAAAACACTTTATATCTACTATCTATCTATCTATCTATCTATCTATCTATCTATCTATCATCTATAATTTTATCAAATTGATAAATTAAAGGAATCTTTATGGAGGCTAGTACCAGTGAATAAATATATTGCATTATTATTTTTTTAATTTATTCATTTGAGGTGGGCTATTGAACTCATTCTTTTCATCCTGGAAATTCTAGACAACTCTTGAAGATTAGAAACATTGTCCCAAGGTCTATTTTCTTTCCCATCTAATGAAAGTCTCTTCAGACCTTGAGCTTGATGGCTCCCTTCTACCTGCGCTGCACAAGATGGCAGCAGCATCTAACAAATTGACATTCTCCACTTTACAAAAATGAAACCGTGGTTTCAACCGTTAGCCTGATGGTTTCCTCTACTGCTTCCGAACTATCACTCAACAGGTCCCCAAGGAGCCTCCTTCCCCAAGAGACTTTCTATAACTCTTTTCTGTAAGCTCTGAGGAACAAGTATCTTCCTTTTTCATTTTCAGACCAAGCTTGATACATTTGAAACAATTCTTCTTTCTTGCTTCACTGTCTGCCCTCTTTGTTCATACATCATTGTGGTTGGGGATGACAGAAGTAGAAATAGAAATAGAATAACAGAGTTGGAAGGGACCTTGGAGGTCTTCTAGTCCAACCCCCTCCCTAGGCAAGAAACCCTACACCACTTCATACAAATGGTTATCCAACGTCTTCTTCAAAACTTCCAGTGTTGGAGCATTCACAATTTCTGGAGGCAAGCTGTTCCACTGACTAATTGTTCTGCAAGGACATTTCTCTTTAGTTCTAGGTTGCTTCTCTCCTTAATTAGTTTCCACCCATTGCTTCTTGTGCTGCCCTCAGGTGCTTTGGAAAATAGTTTGACTCCCTCTTCTTTGTGGCAACCCTTGAGATATTAGAACATTGCTATCCTGTCTCCCCTAGTCCTTCTTTTCATTAAACTAGACATACCCAATTCCACCAACGGTTCTTTATATGTTTTAGCCTCCAGTCCCCTAATCATCTTTGTTGCTATTCTCTGCACTCTTTCTAGAGTCTCAACACTACATCATGGTGACCAAAACTGGATGCAGTATTCCAAGAGTGGCCTTACCAAGGCCTTATAAAGTGGTATTAACACTTCACGTGATCTTGATTCTATCCCTTTGTTTATGCAGCCTAGAACTGTGTTGGGTTTTTTGGCAGCTGCTGCACATTGCTGGCTCATATTTAAATGGTTGTCCACAAGGACTCCAAGATCCCTCTCATAGTTACTCCATTTCTGTATGTGCAAATCTTGGAGTTATTTGCACTAAACTCAGTGTGATTTACATCTGCATCATGCCGTGAATTAGTTTCCCATCAAGCTTTATATTCCCCAAATTTCATGTGTCCCCTGGCTGAAAAAGAAAAAAATACACTTCGGTTCATCTTGATTCCTGGTGATAAGGGACATTGATGTGGTTTGCTACTTCCGTTTTCTGAGATTTGCTTTCTTTCAACTTTGTACCCTGATCTGCCATTGTAGGATTACCAGCCAGTTTCTCATTCAAGTTGTAAAGAAATCCAATCCTGCTTAGATTTTGGACAATGAGTCACAACTAAGCGCATGGTCAGATAAAAGTTCAGTGTGCACCAGGATGGAATGGGACAACTAGCCAGGGCCAATTCACCACAGCCAACTTACCATGGGCCAACTCACCGCAAGACAATTCAACAATTCAATTTGTGGTTCTCCTCTTTCCTCTCTGAGTGTACGCAGTCTGTGTTGATGGGGGGAGGGGCAGAGGTTGACCCTGAGGTTCCTCACTTGTGGGGTGCCACAAGGGTCAGTCCTCTCACCCCTCCTGTTTAACATTTATGTGAAGCCACTGGGTAAGATCATCCGTGGCTTTGGGGTGAAGTGTCAACTGTATGCCGAAGACACGCAGTTGTACATTTCAACCCCAGGCCACCCCAATGATGTCCTTGACGAGATGTCCCGTTGCCTGGAGCCCATGCAGATCTGGATGGGGAGGAACAGGCTCAGACTCAACCCCTCCAAAACTGAGTGGCTGTGGTTTCCGACGTCCCGATATAGCCAGCAAACACCATCGTTGGCTATTGGGGTTGAGATCTTACCCCCCTCAGAGAGGGCTAGCAACTTGTGTGTCCTCCTGGATTCACAGCTGTCTTTAGATGATCATCTGACAGCCGTGGCTAGGGGGGCTTTTTATCAGGTTCGCCTGATTTCCCAGTTGCGTCCCTTTCTGGATTGGTACGGCTTGCACCCAGTCACTCACGCCCTCGTCATTTCCTATCTGGACTATTGTAATGCTCTCAACATGGGGCTCCACTTGAGGAGCACCCGGAGGCTCTAACTGGTCCAGAATGCGGCCGCGTGAGTGATAATGGGGGCGATTCATCGCTCCCATGTAACACCCCTCTTGCGTGAGCTGCACTGGCTCCCGGTAGTCTTCCAGGTGCGCTTCAAGGTGTTGGTTACCACCTTTAAAGCGCTCCATGGCTTAGGACCTGGTTACTTACAGGACTGCATTCTGCCACCGTTTTCCTCCCACCGACTGACATGCTCCCACAGAGTGGGTGGCTCCTCAGGGTGCTGTCGGCCAAACAATGTCAACTGGTGACCCCCAGGGGGAGAGCCTTCTCTGTGGGGGTTCCTGCCCTATAGAATGAATTGCCCCCGGACATACAAAGGATCCCCGACCTCCGCACCTTTCATTGTGCTCTGAAGACCCTACTATTTCAGCAAGCCAATCTGACGGGATAAATGATTTTAAATTGGGTTTTAAAAGTGGTTTAAAATGGTTTTAATTGGAAGTTTTAATTTTGGCCAAAGATTGTTTTAATATTTTGTCTTGTATGTTGTTTTATCATGGCTGTTCACCGCCCTGAGTCCTTCGGGAGAAGGGCGGTATACAAATATAATAAAAACTAAAAAAACTAAAATAAAAACTAAATGTATAAAATATTTTTTTTAAAAAAAATTAAATTTTGACATTCACGTTCATTTTGTGCTTTCTTTTGCATCCTTTCTATAACTATTTTATCCCACCGTTTCTTTGATATTAGTGTAACTCTTGTCCCATGGTAAGTTGTCCTACAGCAAATTGGCCATGGTGAGTTGGCCATCACGAGTTGGCTTTCTTTATTTTATTCCACCATTTCTTTGATATTAGTGTAACTCTTGTTATTGCTATTCTAATAGCAAATCCTTCATAAAAGTTCCTGCATTACATTCTTGATTAAATTATCTTTCCATTGATATATAATTTTATGGTACAACTCCCCCCCCCAAAAAAAGTGGCGTTATTAACTATTTTTAGAAAATACAATTGTGTTTCCACAATTTTGGCCACTACTGTATAGCAATGTCTTGCACCTTTTTCCCACAAAACAGATTGTGTTTTCACAGACACAGATTGTGTGTCTGTGAAAACACCGCCATGTCCTTGAGCCAAAAGGACTTTCTGGGTTTTCTCAAAACTACCCCTTTTTGAACGATGAATCCCAAATGGTCTTCATAATTCTTTTTTTATCTAAAGGTGTATGCAAATATGGAGACAGTTACTTTTTTTAACACTTTGCATCCATCCTTCCACCCACAGCACCATCCAGGGAAATAAATGTAGTGTTTGGTTTTTGGGTTTTTTTACAAAGTGAGAGGAACTCAAAAATGATGTTTGGGCTGCAGTTAGTTCTCTTTGCAACTGTCTTTAGAGGTAATCTTTCCTCTTTTTATATATGATTGGGAAATAGATAGATAGATAGATAGATAGATAGATAGATAGATAGATAGCAAGACAGAGAGACAGAGAGAGACAGAGATGCAGAGAGAGAGACAGAGAGACAGAGAGAGACAGAGGCACAGGCAGAGAGACAGAGACAGAGACAGAGACAGAGAGAGAGACAGAGACAGAGACACAGAGAGAGACAGACAGACAGAGAGACAGACAGAGACACACACACACACAGAGAGAGAGAGAGAGAGACAGAGACAGAGACAGAGACAGAGACAGAGAGAGAGACAGAGACAGAGACAGAGACAGAGACAGAGACACAGAGAGAGACAGACAGACAGAGAGACAGACAGACACACACACACACACATAGAGAGAGAGAGAGAGAGAGAGAGAGAGAGAGAGAGAGACAGAGACAGAGACAGAGACAGAGACAGAGACAGACAGAGAGAGAGAGAGAGACAGAGACAGAGACAGAGAGACAGAGAGACAGAGAGAAGCAGTTTTTGATGGCTCAGGCTTGTAAGGTGATGTCTCAATTTTAAGATAGGGCTGCAGGAGAGGCTGATGAAGTTGTATAAAGGGGCTGATCTGAATCTCCCCCCCTTTTTTTCCCCCCATTTGAGGGCAGATACAAGGCATATAATTAAAGTGTGTGTGTGTGGGGGGGGAGTTGAGAACCAAACACTTACAATCTCCCTTTAAAAGCTCTCCAAATCATCACTGCAAAATCAACAAACTAGAACATCTGAAAATGTTCAGGTGTCCAAATGGGTGAATTTCACTGACAGCCTTTCAGATCATTTTCAGACAAATTTGGGGACTTTTAACAGCAGGACTAGAAATAGGTCGAATCCTAGGAGCTTGTCACCTCCACTAGAACTTTTATTTGACAAACAAAACACCATGACATTGGTGATTTGGCTTCCAGATTTCAGGTACAAAATCTGGAGTTGTTCCAAGCCTTCATGGAACACGTAACAGGTTGTCCACTTTTGAACTAGAGGAAAAAAAGAATGAGATTTGTCTGTGAAGTAATATGAAATGTTACAGTGCGTCCTTTTGTCCAGGTATTCGGTTGGAGGTCCAGTTGGTGGAATCTGGAGGAGACACTAAACGACCCGGTCAGTCCCTCCACCTCTCCTGCCGGTACTCCGGAACCACGTTCAGGAGAGATGAAATGCACTGGGTGAGACAAACTCCTGGGAAAGGACTGGAATGGGTTGCATGGGTAGACAACACGGGCGATCAAAGCCCCACGTACTATGCTGATTCGGTGAGAGGTCGCTTCACCATCTCCCGGCGAGATGCCTCCAACATGATTTCCCTGCAAATGAACTCCCTTAAACCTGAAGACTCTGCTTTCTATTACTGTGCGAGAGAGCCAGCCACACACAGTGAGAAAAGGCAATGCAAAACCCTCTTTTGTTTATGGAAACACCACTGGGTAGTTCAGCTGCAGCGTACTCAAAGGGGAAGGAAGAGACCACACTGAGACTCCATGGCTCAGTTGAGCTGAGTCAGAAACAGCAGGTTGATGTAGCTTCCAGCATATGTGAATGAAAGAAATGAGAGAGGAAAATCTTCATGATCAGGGGTGGGTTTCACATATTGTTGCCACCAGTTCTTCTGCACATGTGTTTGGCCTTCAGTGCATGCACTTTGCTTGTATGTGCACCTTCCATGCATTTGCCCGGCCTTGAAAATGTGGCCAAATAGGATGGCATTACGTCCGAGCCCACCTGCAGTCTCTGCTACCGGTTCGCCCGAACTGGTGCGAACCGGCTGAATACCACCTCTGTTCGTGATATAGAACTCCACATTGACATTTTTATTCTCATAAGTGGATCAACAGGGAGGAACTTATACTTTTGAAGAATGCGGTGAGGATAGACTATGGGAAAAAATATGACCAAAGAAAATAAACTGAGGAGAGAGAGAGAGAGAGAGGGAGGGAGAGAGAGAGAGTGGGAAAGGGAGAACTGCTCATAAGTTCTACTCTTCTTTAGAGATACAAAATTGTATTTCTTAATTAGTCCTCTATTCTTTTATTCAGTCATGTAAAAGTGATATGGGCTGTTGCATAAATCAAGCAAATAAGTAAAGATATAAATCAATAGTATAAGGGCTATAGAAATTCAACATTTTGCTTGCCTTTCTTCCTTTCCTTTCCTTTCCTTTCCTTTCCTTTCCTTTCCTTTCCTTTCCTTTCCTTTCCTTTCCTTTCCTTTCCTTTCCTTTCCTTTCCTTTCCTTTCCTTCCCTTCCCTTCCCTTCCCTTCCCTTCCCTCCCTCCCTTCCCTTCCCTTCCCTTCCCTTCCCTTCCCTTCCTTTCCTTTCCTTTCCTTTCCTTTCCTTTCCCTTGTTTCTGTTCTTATAGTTGACTTATATTGACTATATTGACTTAGGTTTCTTCAAAATAGCATGGTAAATTGTGGTAAATTTTATCTAAATTAAATCAGGAAAAAGCGAAACCACAACCAAAGCGCCACCTCTAGGCTTAACTCACTTTCAGAACTACAAGATGGAAACAAAGAAAAAAAATTAAAATGAGTATTGCCATCTAGTCCAGATTCAATAGTCCTAAATTTAATCTAAATTAAACCAGGACAAAGAGTTGGTCTTTTATATGGGAGACCACAGCCAACGTTCTATTCTGATACCTATTCATCTACTTGCATTTGCATTCTTTCAAACTGTTAACTGGACACCCATATTACTTAGTCCTAAATTTAATGATGATGTATTAAATTTTATCTAAATTAAGTCAGGAAAAAAATAGAGTTGCATATATAAAATCACAAAATCCCATTTCTGGGCTAGGACTCACTGTTGGACTTAAACCAATTGCCAAAGTACAAGACAATAGCAATGAAAAAAAGATCATATATTGGTATTTAGTCCAGATTGAATAGTCCTAAATTAATCCAGATTAAATCAAAACAAATAGTTGGTGCTTTAGATGTGAAAAAACAGTCAAAATTCTATTGTGGACTGAGACTCATTGATTGATTTAAGCTACTCTACTCATTCCCAAAGTACCATCTCTTATTTCACCATCCATATTACTTTGAGGATATGAAACCACAATCAAAGTCCAACTTCTGGGCTAGGACTGATTGTTGGACATAACCTACATTCTTATAAAATGGTTTTAACTTCCACATGACACTCATATGCAAATGAGGTCACTGAGCTGTTTCTCTTTTAAATAATCATGATCACACCAAGGAGCATATCAGACCCAAAGGTGTTACCTCTGGAACGAAAGGGTGTATTTCTCACTGTCCAATGGATCTTCCCATTTTTCTTCTTTGCTTAGTAGCTGCTCCTGTCTGTAAGTATCTTCCGAGATAGACCTGAACAATGAGATAAAACAAAAGCAGGATTGCGTACTAATTCCTGCTTTGTCATTCGTTTAGACGTCCACTCCACTGTCCAACTTGTGGAATCTGGGCCAGGAACAGTGAGCCCTGGAGGATCCTTCAGATTAACTTGCAAAGTGACGGGGGACTCCATCAAGAAAGTGTGGTGGGACTGGATCCGCCAGGCTCCAGGAAAAGGATTGGAATGGGTGGGCGAGATAGACTGGGATGCTAACAAGTGGAGGACATTCTATGCCTCTTCCCTCCAAAGCCGGACAACTTTGACTGCTGATGACTCCCGTAATGAGTATTATTTGACAATGAGGTCTCTGACAGCTGCAGACTCAGCCACATATTACTGTGCACGAAATCCACAGTGAGAGAAAGCAAAGGAGGAAGTGTGAAAAACATAGTTGCTTCTCGATTTTTGCTTGAAGAAACTTTATGTTTTCACATTCATGGATTGAGATAACTTCGTCCTTCTTTCCGACTACCATTGTCTGCAAAGGGGAACACATTATTCTTCTCTCTCAACAACAAGTAGTACTAGACTTCAGAGCTGCTGCTCCTGTTCAGAACAGCACATAGCATGCTATTTGCTTCTTCTTTCTTTTCCCGTTCTTTTGCTTCTTTTCTCCTATTTCTGCAGTTTTCTCAAGCACTGGCTGCAACATCCTTGTCATGGACAAGGATTAAGAGATACGCGGTAGTTGGGTTGATGTTCATGTGATACTCAGTCCACTTCTCGGTCAAGCTGAGTCAGAAACAACAGGTTGATGTAGCTTCTTCCAGATGTGAATGATGGTAAAGACATGACAGGTGAAATTCTTCATGATTCAGAACTCCACATTGATGTTTTCATTCTCATAAGTGAGTCAACAAGAAGGAACTCATAGATTTGAAGAATGCAGTGAGGATAGACTATGGAAGAAATGATAATGTATAGAAAAAATAAGGCTCTAAAAGAAAGGGAAGTGATAAAGTAGAAAAACACAGAGAAATTTGCAAAGATTGCCCCATGTCTGTACAGCTTCTCGAGAAATTACTGTCCTCACCACAAAACCAAGGCCGAGTTCACTATATAGTAGCCATCCTTTCTTGAACATAATGGAAAATGCCATATTTTTCAGAGTATAAGACCGGAGTATAAAATGCACGTTAGTTTTTGGGGAGGAAAATAAGAAAAAAGCTGATTGGCAGGTGGATTGGCCTCCCTGGAATACACCCAATCAGCTGTTCCCAGAAGTGAATTTTAGCAACAGGTTTGTTGGTTGTGAGCTCTGTGCCTTGCTTTTTTATTTTTTCTGCCTCTGAAACTTTTGAAAGTCTGTTTCAGAAAAAAACTTTTTTTCCTGTCTCTGAAAGCCTCCGAAACAGAGCTTCAGAAAAAAAGCCTCTGAAGCTCTGTTTGGGGGCTTTTTTTTCTGAAGCTCTGTTTGCGGGCTTATTTTCTGAAGCTTCATTTCTGATGCTTTTTTCAGTCTCTGAAACTTCCGTTTGAGAAGCTGGGTGGGGCTACATTCAGAGTATAAGACACACCCAGATTTTCACCCTCTTTTTTTTGGAGAAAAAGGTGCATCTTATACTCTGAAAAATACGGTATATTTCTGGAGGGCCGTCTGGACTACTGTAATGCTCTCTACATGGGGCTCCCCTTGAAGAGCACTTGGAGGCTCCAATTGGTCCAGAATGCGGCCGCGCGGGCGATTATGGGAGCGACTCGGCGCACCTATGTAACACCTTTCCTGCGCGAGCTGCACTGGCTTCCGGTGGTCTTCGGGGTGCAATTCAAGGTGGTGGTGACCATCTTTAAAGTGCTCCATGGCTTAGGACCCAGGTACTTACAAGACCGCCTTCTGCTGCCAATAGTCTCCCACCGGTCAATACGCTCCCACAGAGAGGGACTTCTCAGGGTGCTGTCAGTCAAACAGTGTCGACTGGCGGCCCCCAGGGGGAGAGCCTTCTCTGTGGGGGCATCTGCCCTCTGGAACAAATTGCCCCCGGAGATAGGGAGGATCCCTGACCTACGCACCTTTCGCCGTGCCCTCAAGACGCTATTATTTCAACAAGCAGGGCTGGCCTAGATATGATTTTTAATTGGGGTGTATTTTTAATGATTAGGCCAATAGTTTAATATGCTTTTAAAATGTTTTTTAAATTTTGTACTTGGACTTGTTTTACTGTTGGCTGTGCACCGCCCTAAATCCTTCGGGGGAAGGGCGGTATAGAAATTAAATAAAATCTAAATCTAAATCTAAGTTGACTTCTTCAACTTTGTCAAATAAAATATTTGCTTGTGGAATAATTTTTGGAGAAGTGACTTCTTTGGTTGTAACAGAGAGTGGTGTGTTACAGGAATCCTTCCTCGCTGAGCCTGCATCAAATTAAGTCTGTTTGCTTTAACAAACTATGGAAACCTATCAATAATGGATGAATGATCACATGTCTTCCCAGCAGTGGTGAAATTCAATTTTTTTAAATTACCGGTTCTGTGGCCATGGCTTGGTGGGCGTGGTGTGGCTTGGTTGGCATGTCTTGGTGGAGATGGCAGGGGAAGGATACTGCAAAATCCCGATTCCTTCCCCACTCCTGGGGGAAGGATATTGCAAAATCTCCATTCCCACCCCACTCTGGGACCAGCCAGAGGTGATATTTGCCAGTTCTCCGAACTAATCAAAATTTCCACTATTGGTTCTCCAGAACCTGTCAGAACCTGCTGGATTTCACCCCTGTTTCCCAGTCTATCTTTTATGTGGCTAATAAATACTTCTGTGAATGTGTCTCTGTGCATGTTACTGTTGATTCTAGAAACACTTTTCTGAGTTGGAACTTTTGCAAAATAACATTTTCTTTTCTCCCTTGAAAAAGCTATACCTCTTTGTGTAACAGTTTAAACATATTTTCTTTTATTATTTCTTTATTTATTACAATGTGTTAATCATCTAAACATCATTTGTGCAATATAGAATCAAGGAAATCTACAAAAAGAGATTGGCATTTTGATTCCAAAGTTATGTAAATTCAAGAGCAATTTCCTGCCCAGATGATGTATCGCTTTGAATTACTTCTTACAGAATAAACCTGATGCTTCCTGTATTGATTAAAAATTGTCCCTTGGCTGATGCTGGGACATCTTCAGCATGTCTTAAAGTGGAGGTTGAAGGAACTCAAGAAGGTTGAAGTATCATGTGGCTTTTTTATCCTGAGGGCTATGCAAATTCAGTGACAGCTTCCTGTCCAAAGGAACTATATCATCCTCTTTACTACTACACCAAAGTATAGAAATGTTGAATGCTCCAAAACCTGGCTAGAAAGAATATGCACATAAAAGCCTACGAAAAAGGAAAAAAGATACATTGTACCATTACAGGGAGGATATGTGAGAAGTGGGTGTGGCTCACCGAAGACGCCTTAAGAGGCAGAAATAGCTATCTGAGTCTCCCAGAGAGCAACACAGAGTTGCAGTTTGTCAGCAGAAAAAAGGCCCAGAAACTTGTGAATGAGATTTCACAGAACCTAGGGCTGTAGAACAACTAAGTTTACGTAGGTAAAACCTGGCTAGAAAGAATATGCACATAAAAGCCTACGAAAAAGGGAAAAAAAAGATATATGTATATTTATACAAAGTCAGCTTATTGCCCCCACAAACTGGGTCCTCATTTCACCTACCTTTGAAAGGATGGAAGGCTGAATCAACCTTGAGCCTGGTGAGATTTGAACTTGCAGTAATTGCAGGCAGCTGGTGTTAATAACTGTTAATAACAGTGCTTTAGTCTGCCACGCCACCAGGCTCAGTTTTGCTTTCTCTTTTTTTAAAAAAATATTTTTTATTGAGTATTTTACATTTTAAAACAAAACACACAATAGCAAAAAAATACACACACACATCAGACATTAAAATACAAAACTAACAACAGATATATACAATTTTACAACTTTCTGCATTGACTTTTGTCTTTACTCTTAGCTTTTATCCTCCCGCTTCTTCTCTTTATTATTAAATATTCATAATTAATTGTTTTGTTAGCAGGGTCATTATTTACATTCATATCTGGTAAATATCAAATTTCGCTTTATATTCTTATTTCTTAATTTGATTTCTGTTTTCCAACCATGTATAAAACCTATCCCACACTTTATAATAATCTGAGTCTTCTCTTTCTTTGATCTCCATAGTTAATTTATCCATTTCAGCACATTTGAGGATTTTCTTTATTATTGTTTCTTGGTATTGGTATTGTGTATTGGTCGATTTCCACATTTGCGCTAGAGTAATTCTGTCTGCTGTTAGAATATGCAATATAATGTAATAGAGACTTTTTTCCATTTTTCTATCAATCATTCCTAGGAGGAACATCTCTGGTTTAAAATCTATCTTTTGGAATATAATCTCTTCCAACCACCCTTTAATTTTATAATTTCCTCACCTTAGGTCACATCCACCACATGTGGTAGTATGTCCCTAGTTTGTGACCACATCTCCAACATTGAGGTGATAAATTGGGGTGCAGTTTTGCTTTCATCTCCACCCCAGACCACCCCAACGATGCCCTTGATGTGATGTCTCGCTGCCTGGAGACCGTGCGGGTCTGGATGGGGAGGAACAGGCTCAGACTCAACCCCTCCAAGACTGAGTGGCTGTGGCTTCCGGCATCCCGATATAGTCAGCAGGTGCCATCGCTGACTATTGGGGGTGAATCTTTGCCCCCCTCAGAGAGGGCTCGCAATCTGGGTGTCCTCCTGGATGCACGGCTGTCTTTAGAAGAGCATATGACGGCCGTGGCCAGGGGGGCCTTTTATCAGGTTCGCCTGATTCACCAGTTGCAGCCCTTTCTGGACCGGGACACCTTGTGCACAGTCACTCACGCCCTTGTCACCTCCCAGCTGGACTATTGTAATGCTCTCCACATGGGGCTCCCCTTGAAGAGCACTCGGAGGCTCCAATTGGTCCAGAATGCGGCCGCGCGGGTGGTTATGGGCGCAACTCGTTGTGCCCACGTGACACCCCTCCTGCGCGAGCTGCACTGGCTCCCAGTGGTCTTCTGGGTGCGATTCAAGGTGCTGGTTACCACCTTTAAAGCGCTCCATGGCACAGGACCCGGGTACCTTCGAGACCGACTTCTGCCACCAATAGCCTCCCACCGACCAGTTCGCTCCCACATAGAAGGTCTCCTCAGGGTGCCATCGGCCAAGTTATGTCGGTTGGTGACACCCAGGGGGAGGGCCTTCTCTGTGGGAGCCCCAGCCCTGTGGAATGAACTGCCCCCGGAAATACGCAAGATCCCCAACCTCCGGGTATTTCACTGCGCATTGAAGACCCTGTTGTTCCGCCAGGCCGGGCTATCGACATGATAATTTTAAATTGGGGTATTTTAAATTTCTGGGGTTTTAAATGGAGCCAAATTTATTTAATAATTTTAAATTTTAAATTGATGTTTGTCTTGTGTTTTTAAATAGGCTGTACACCGCCCTGAGTCCTTCGAGAGAAGGGCGGTATAGAAATAAAATTATTATTATTATTATTATTATTATTATTATTATTATTATTATTATTATTATTATTATTATTATTATTATCATTGTAGCTGTTTTGAACTTCAGGAACTCAGCCATGCTTTCCAGACACTTTCAGTACAACATGTTCCTGCAGAACCAGGCTTGCTTCTATTTATCTTTTACACCAGGGGTCATTATTG